GGGCGCAGGCACGCTCTTGCCAGGTTGCCATGGCCACATTCGTCCCCCATATATAGCTTCCGGGTTGCCATGCCTCAGCATCTCACCACATGTGGTTTTTGCTGAGGTGTTGGTTCTGGAAAGAAAAGGGCCCAATACACGGCAAGTCCCTATGCAACTTTACGGTTTTGTTTCCGCAAAGATTAAGCGGATTGATTGTTTCTTAGAAAGCGCCAGTTTCATAGGCTGCCAGGCAAACAAGGCACTGGTAGCAGAAACCTCAGCTGTCCAACAAACTGGTAGGGAAAAAGCGTGACAGAAAAGCGCGGAATCGAGATCAAAAACAGGCAGGCTCAAGACTTAAGTCTCACCAAGTTTATGCCGATAGCAATGGCATCTTGTGGCCAGGCATGCTGCCAAGACATCTTTTGTCGCTTGAGCCTTTCTTCCTGAAATTTGATGGCGTGTCATCTCCTTCTCCTTTTGGAGCTTTCAATGGTAGACGGACTTGTTTGCTTCTTTGGCCTCAAAAGAGAATCAAAAGCCCTGGGTGCCTTCTTGACAGTGGTATTTCAAAGGTACCATGTGTTCTGAGTCTTGTGCGGGTACCTACCTTACAAATAAGTCATGTCCAGCTCCGTCTGAGACTGTAAGCCCTGTAAGCCCCGTCAGACCGAACCGAGAATGCAGGCGCTTTCCGACAAGGGTCGGGTCTGTTAGCGCAGTGCGTGGAATGCTTTCCTTGAGGGTGAGCATGCAAGTGGATGGTAGATGTGCAACAGATGGAAATCAGGATGTGGAGTGCTCATCCTTGACTCGTTGATGTGTGAGTTTCACTGCGCTTGAGCCCGCTGCGACATGTGATATATATCAAGTGCAACCTGAGCATGCGATGTTGACTGGCAAGTTGCATGCGCAAGCAAGATGGTCAGATTCTGTCAGTGTTTTTCCGATCTCTTTGTCGCCTGCCTTTCTTGTCGGCCAGCAGGTGTGGGGCCTGAAGTGTCTGACAGATCCGAAATCGTGCATCAAACCACGACGAGATAATACAAAATACAGTAAACTATTGCGATACAGTAATAATACAAACGCCTCCAAAGTGCTGAGCCGATGAATGGCCAGGAACTTTTGCTCCAAGCTGGTGCAAAAGTTGGTTCGGCGCAACGCAGCAGAGTGTTTGTTCTTCATTTGGAGTGGGCAATGTTGAAATCCCCATGCCAAGCAGTTTATCAAAGGTCCGCTTTCACTACAAGTGGCTGGCGTCGTTGCATGGTATTTTCTTCCCACTTTGCTTCGTCCTGCATCACCCGGCGAATGTTGAAGGCAGACAGCACGAAAGAACATGATGCCCCATTGGCGCCACTAGCTGCGTCGACTTGCGTGCTGAGGCCCCAACTATTTGCAAAACCGTCCAAACCACTCCAGTGATTCTGCGGCAGCCAAACTTAGCAAAGTGACAATGCCTGTGAAATTTCCAAGATGCGACGTCCGAAGTCAAAAGACTAATTACGGCTATACTCACCACAGCTGACCTACACGAGTGTTTCCAGGTTGCCCAAAGGATCCAAAGGGGCTTGGGATATTTGGCACTTCTTGAACCCGCGGAAAAAATGCAGGTGTCGCCAGGGGGGAAACACAGAATTGGGGATATGTAGTCTGTTAAACTGTTAAACCATTCTTCTCAACCAGTTCCCTGTTGAAAAGTGGTGCAACTTCAGGGTCTTTTTGTTGGCGATCAGAAATAGCCTGGAAGGTAAATTGATCATTGTTGAGGTGGGGATATTAGTGCAGGTTCACACAGTCTAAGCAAGAAGTTTGCGCGTCGTGGCCAGAACGATGAGATGCATAGACATGAGAAAACCGGAGAAAACCAAGAAAACCGAGAACACGAGAAAATTGAGAAACAGAAAGAAGCAGAAAGAAAGAGCTTGAAAATGCAGCAAACAGTTGTGAGCTAGTCTCCTCGGTTTCGCCGTTTTCCGGTTTTCGCGGTTTTCGCGCTTCTCGCGGTTTTCGCGTTTTCACGGTTTTCGTGCCTTCTGTGGTTTTCGTGGTTTTCGCGTTTTTCGTCTTTCGTGTTTTTCGCGGTTGTCCCAGTTTTCGCGTTTTGGCTTGTGCCGTTCTTGCTGTTTTCGAATTTCTGCCCTTGATGTCCTGTTGAGAAGTGGTGCAACTTCAGGGATCTTCAGGGTCTTTTGTTAATTCCGGGTCCGGAAGGTAAATTGATCATGTTGAGGTGGGGATATTAGTGCAGGATAGTGCAGGATAGTGCAGGATTAGTGCAGGTTCACACAGGTGCCACCATTTACAGTCCAACTGGGGATTATTTCGTGAGGGCATGTGTGCACTGTCGCAGCAACAGGTTCATATAGATTTGAAACACTTGTTGGTAAACCAATTTAAAACATTGATCTCTTCAATGCATGACCTGTTTGTTGCACCCAACAGGTTCTATGAAAACATGTGAAAAACATGTCAGACGATTTCAATGTATCGATGTCTGGCTTTTATGTTACGTGTGCAGCGCATGTGCAGCGCTTGCTGCTCGAGCGAGCGATGATTTTGGATTGGTTGTGGCTGCAAACACCACTAGACTATATTCGTATACTCATTAGATCTCATTCGTATCCTTATAGAAAAGCATAGAAAAGCGGATAGTGGCTTCCTCATAACGAGATGTGAGACGAGCATGACAACAGCCACCTAGGGGGCCTTGATTGAAGATGGGGTGACAATTGTCAGGTGTGTGATGGACAATCATGGACCATGTCACTTCATCATGGACCGTCATTTTTACGTGCCACTTTCACCACAATTGCAACGGGACAACCAGTAGAGATTCAAATGTAGAATATTTGAGGAGAAGAGTGAGAGCATGGAAGAAACCATGGCATGTACCAACACCTGATGGACTCAGCATGCTGCCGAGGCACCTCTTGATACCACCGGACCTTTCCCCATGGCACCATATGGCACCTGTGGTCAGCCGCGATGCAAATTCAAAACTTATAGCCGCGATGATGCTATCACATTACAGCGGAAGATTTCGATTCTCTGCTTGTTTCAATTCACGTCATTCAATGCGAAGTTCAGTGTGTTTCCAAGCAAAGTCACAAGTTATGCCGAAGACGGCATTTTGCTTCTGAATCACCAAGACTTGAGTGCTAGACTAGTTCATCTAATTCCACCCGCCATGGCAGCAAGATCCAAAAACTTAAAAGTATGTTTCCCCGTCGTGCTGTGCTGGAGCCACAAATGAGTGCTCCGTCGGCACAATGTCATGCAGACATGCGGCTTTTCGAACAGAACGACCTCTTGTGACAGCCTGAGCCAGACCCGCTAGCCGCAGATGTTGCTTGCTGCCATGAATACAGCTTTGGTTCTAACAGGGCGTGCCAAGGTTCAATGTTGAATCTTTGCAACAAAACGGGAGGAAATGTTTAACATTTCAGACTTGGGATTCTGGTGCCAGATGGATTGTTTGAAAGCATTGTGAATTGGGGTGTAGAAACTTTTGGTGAAATTCCCTCATGTTGTTGGCGGCAAGACCGTGTATTTTCTAGTTCAAGTCCGAGAATCAGCTGATCAGCGCACCGCTTTAGTTGAACAAGGATGAACGAGGTGCAAGATGCTGAATTGAACAATATTGAATAGTTTTTTCTGCCTTCTGCACACGAGAAGGCGAGAAGATGTGATTGCCCCGCTGCCCCTCGGGCTGTCAGGACAAAGATGACAGTGTTTGAGTGCGGCGCGGTCGGTCTATCGAATTGGATCCATTAGAACAAGACTTCTGGGAAAGGATGAGCTTGATCAGCAGCGAGCGCGCCCCTTGTCCAGGGTGAAGCACCCATCAAACTTATCGTCCTTGTCATCTCCAACCAACAGTCTATCATCGACATGCAGGGCACAAATCGCCCATGACTTGAGGCGGCGAATTGCATTCTTGGAGGGGGCCGGTTCATGTAGATCCACCTTGTTCATGCGCTTTATGCCACAACCTGGGCTTTTGGCAAGCCCGTAGGCGGGTTTGGCGCTTGCAATTTGCGGAACGAAGACGAAGGCAGCCCGACATCGCCAACATGTTGGAGATTCGTGGATGGGATGCCGGAAATGAAAATGGGCCAATGGGCATTTGACAAAATGAGTCATGTGACTGCGATCTCATGTCATTTGATTCATTCGCGTCATTCAGCTTTCCAGGGCCATTACGGATCATGACGGATGATCATGGCATCGTGGCTGGTACATCATATAGTACAGTATTGTATAGCAGTACAGCAGAGACTATAAATGCTGGTACCTTCAAAATCCTTCAAATGCCCCAATGCCCAAGCTTCTAAGGCTTCAGTTTGTTCGAGTTCTCATGTCCAACCCATTGTGAGGCTGGCGATTTCAGGGGAAACCTAACTTGGAAGAAACAACTTGAGCCACTGGAATCCAATGGAATCCACTGGAGCTGTACCTCACATCCAGCACAGATTTGTTTGAAATGCTGACTTGTCATACTTTGCCAGGCATGTTTTTTTTTACCGTTGTTGATCCTTAAGGTGACACGTCACATCGGAGGATTAAATCGCCCAAGCAAAGACGAGTGGAAACCCGGCGGGTGTTGTCCAGCAGCGAGTGAAAAGACTGGCTCTGCAATACATCGGAGAATCGCACATGTGGCTGGCTATATACATCATGAATCATCATGATAGGCTAAGCACGAAAAACTGAACAGCTTTCCCAAAAGCAAGGACCACGAAACCACACCAAACGTGTGGTTGTGTATGTTCGGCATGTACGTTATGTCGGTTGTGTGCTTGGTGGCATGTTTTCTCTGCCGTCGTTCTGGCTTTAGTTTTGCACCAAGCTGGACCTGTCACGGCTCCATACGGCTCCTATAGATTCAACGTCTTTTTGGAATGATGCACTGCAACTCTTCACATGCTTATTATTAAAAAAAAATATGAACACGTATAAAAAACACATTGTCAAACAATTGATACAATTGCCAACTGGAGTTTGACATCCAAACCGAGCCCATGGAAGATGCCGATGATGCCTGGCAAGTCGAGAGAGAGTACTTTGAGGAAGGGTTGCTGGACGGTGGTAGGCATTGTGTCTAGCCATTTGATTTCATCATATTTATATATATTTATCATATCAGAATCAAATCATCCAATAATTTTAAATTTTAATATTTTGTTGATGAGTATATTATATTGATAATTTTTTTGATCGTCACAGTCAAATCATCCACGAGTCTCTCCAACGTGCCCCTGAAGGATGAGTGCCTTGATGCAGAGGCCACTGACAAGGCAGACACAGAGCTGACTCAACCTCCAGATGGTGAAAAGGAGGTTGGTCATGAGAGCCGAGAGGAAGTGTGTCACTGGATGTTCATTGAATTTTGTTTGTCATTCACGTTTCATAGATGTTCACCTCTGATCTGGGACTGGAACTGCCTCAAGATGAGGCGGCAGCACAACTAACTATTTTTTCCCTGAGCACCCTGTGTTTTTCAACTTGAATTTCTGTGTTGAAAGCATCTGGAGCCCAGGTCAAGATGATCCATATGATCCATACCTGGTGAAGGATGTGAAGATGGAAAATCACCCGGCCCCAGCAGTCCCAGTCCCAGATCTCCAGTCGCTGATTCCCAAACTCCTTCGCTTTCTGCACCGCCCCTCGGTGGCCTCGGTGGCAGATGCCGCCAGCAGCACTTTGGTGGCGGCCTCCCGGCGTTTGTGGCGCCTTGGAGCCTTAGAACCACAGGGCTATGGGCTGCCTCCAAAGCTGACGCCCTTAGGAGGGGAATCGGGAAATCCAAGCTGACGTGGGGAGAATCTCCTGGGAATATCCAGCAAAATTGGATCAAACATGATCAAACTAGCAGGACAATTCGGGAAGATCCGAATTGGGGCAGTGATTTAGAGAGAGAGAGAGAGAGGGAGAGAGAGAGAGAGATTGCGTGTGTGTGTGTGAGGGAGACATCGTTAGATGTGTTGAAAACCAAATCATGGGAGATTGACCTAAAATATCCAAAAATTGTATATGAATAATTAGTCGTTAATCATCAGAAATAAGAAAGGCATAATTTCCCATCGCTTGAACTGATGGCCGGTAGTTGAAAGGTGGGTAATGAATGTTAACATGACGCACGGATCGACAAAAATAATCCCCCTGGAAGGTATTTGGTTGGCCAAATGCTCTACTGATATGCTGGACTTGCCGCCAGCAGCGGCGCGTGCCCTTTTCTTTGGCGCTCTGTGGGGCTGTTTGGTTCCACTCGCTGCACTGGTGGCATTGCTGTTGCCCCTCAGCGTGAAACCAAAGAAGAGCCTGCGAAATATGTGGCGCAGTCGCTTGCGAAAGGGGTTCCGCACATCTAACTGGTCAGGGCACTTTATCCTGGTGGCATCCTATTTGAAGTGGAAAGAATCACAAGCCAAACTACGTGTGGAAGATGTCCTATCTTGCAGCAATGGGCAGGATGACCAGATGGATGGAGGAAACATGGAACCAGGAGATGACCTCCAAACGGTGGTGGAGACAGAGAAAACTGCAGCACTGTCTTCCCAAAGTGCAGGAGTTGCTCCCACCAAACATGCTGTTGAGGATGCCTTTTGGGAAGCGGTGGATGAAAAAGTTCTGGCCCTTTGCGAATTTGCCCGGACCAATTTGGGATACAATGGCCATGATCTTTCTGCGGACGGGGGAAACATGCCCTGGACAGTGGCATCGCTCCTGATGTGGCCTTAGTTAGGGGCGAAGCAAAGTGTAACCAGAGCCAACATTCACGATCCGTGCACAAGATTGCCATCCTAAGGTTTCGGATTCCCCATGATTCCCCTTTTCAACTTGGGCTGTTTCCCTGTGTTTCATAAGGAATGATCAACATTCCTTGGTACTTGCTGCATTATGTGCCGCTTTCCCTCCCCGACGTCGACCTGGAGACTGGGTGATCCAGCCTGACCTGGAAGCGTTTCCAGAGGCATGGGCAAATATTGGCAACCAAAACGGTAAAGCCATGTAAAACCCCATCGGTTTCTGACTTTTACATATAGTTTTAAGTTTTTAAGATGTTTTAGGCAGGATATGGCGGGATGCATTCAACTTTGGTTGAAAGTTGGTGCCGGAAGCACCACTCCTGGTGCCTTTCGGGGATGTCCTTGGTATGTTTCGGCTGGCTCATTGCGCCCATAGCCAAATGGGGTTCATTTTGTTGGAAACATGGTCCTTCAATCCCAAGCGGAACTACTGCCATGGTCAGATTGTCACGTAATATCACATCACACATCCCACCCTGCTGGATATTTGCATGCATTCGCATGCATCCATGTTTGTTGGCACACTGGCCTCCTAAATTACACAGCTGCAGATTGCCATGGCAAACCCTTGCAGGTTGAATCGCGCGTGAGCAACGCCTATGCTTGTCTTTTTGCATCGTCAGCTCCCAGGCATTCAGGAGATCATGAGATCGAACTGGCTGGGATCCATTGCCGCATCAAATCTGGATGTGAGTCCTTCGGCTCCTTCAAAGAAGCCTGTGCCATTCGTGCACTGATCGCCTCCAACATCAACATGGCCTTCAAAACTTCGAATTTCAGTATGAAGTCCGAGGTGATTCAACGTGCCTTGAACTTCTTATCCTCTCCGAGTGGCGATTTCTTCTTCTGCTTAGATGATGAACCCAGTGCTGAAGGCACTGCCGAGGAGGTGGGTCTGGGTATTTTGACTTTGCTGGGCCGTTCCGATGCCGGCAGCGCCTGTGGACGTCGGGATCGCGGTGCCATCCCTCAGCGTCGTGGGGGATATAAGGAGGCCTTGCGGGGGCGCATGGTGCCCAGTGGATCCACTGGATCCACTGGATCCACTGGAAGTGGTGCCCAGTGGGCTGTGGAGAGACTTGCAAAGCTTCGAAAGATGTCGGATGTGGATGCTGACGCTGGGAAGGACGGGAATGAAGAACATGAGGAACCAAAACTTCCAAACCCACAAGCTTCAGCTCCTTCCTGCCCAAGTGAGGCCAAATGCGTTGAGGATTGGGCCACTGGTTTGGTACAAGCTGCTCTACTGCGAGTGCTGAAGAAACGTGCGGCTGCGGCAGAAGAGTTTGATGTGGCGGCAAGGTTAAAGGCACGAGAACGTGGGGCAGAGACAACATTGGCGGCAGGTCGTGCACGAGCAATGCAGCCACTTGACGAGGGAATACTGTAATTGGCAGAAATTGTACTGTGGCGCTTGATGAGGGGATACGGATGTACCATGATCTATTTTATTTGATTCTATTTGCGTATACTTTCTTGTTGTTCTGACATGTGTCATGAAGCATATCCAGCCGATATCCAGCAGACCCAATAGCGAAATCATCTTCTGTGAAGATTCGCTCCATGTTGACCAGCGCTTCGACAAGGCTGCTGCAAGCCCCAAAGCTGGCGACGGTGGAGCAGCTGAAGGAACAAAAGCGGAAGGCGGTAGAAGTCGAAGATTATGAGCTCCTCGGACCTCCTTTTTTGTTTGTTTTCTATTGTTTTCTATGACTTCATCACTTGTTGGAGGTTTTTACCAGGTGACAGTGTGTATCCATTATTTCTGGATATTTCTGGTCCGATGCAAATTTCAAGATAGTATCCAAGCACGGATGTCTCATGATTTCATCAAGAGTTTTGACATGAGTTGATCATGATTTCATGATGATTCTCATGAGATTGCCATAGCTTTGCATCCTAGATCTTCCCAGTCTGCCCCACTCCTGGTTGGTTCATGGTCATCCATGTCCAGTCCCGGGGCCCGCCTCATGGCTATGGCCTCCGCGGTGAGGCTGGCTGGCCGGCTGAAACGGGAGGCAGAGACATTGGAAGCTTGGCGAGCCGTGGCAGGTCAGAAAGGATGTCCAGGTACCATAGGCAGATTGGGGATCACAGTTTCGCCAATTTGTGGGATCTTGCCCTCGGGGTGAACATGCGGGCGCTCACAGATTTGTATTCAGGAGGCGGACATGGTACGCATGGATGAGGCTGGCAGAGATGGATTGCAAGCTGCACTGGATGTGTGCAGTTCATGTTTTTCCCCACATGTCAGGTGAGGGTTGTTAGATTTATGTCAGCTGCCCCGCCTCCTTCTTCTTCTCCTTCTCCTCCGCTGGACCTCAACTGCAAGCGCTAGATCGCAGTGTTCCCCGCCAGACCCGAACAGCAAGCTCAGGATCAGAGTGATCCCCGCTGGACCTCACCCGCCAGCTCCGGATCAGAGCGTTCCCCGCCGGACCTCAACCACAAAGAATCTCCAACGATATGCCAGATAGAATGTCAGATAGAATGCCAGATAGCATGCCAGAACGTATGCCAGAACATATGGCAGAAAAAAAGCCAGAGAATGCCAGAGAAAATGGTATAGATGCCACAAAGGATGCCATATAGGATGTCAGAATAGATGCCAGATAGAATGCCAGGAACAGAATGTCAGATAGAATGCCAGAATAGAACGTCAGAAGATAGATAGATAGATAGATAGATAGATCGATAGATAGATCGATAGATCGATCGATAGATAGATGGATAGATATGCCAGAAACTATGACAAATAAGTGTCAGGGCGGGGATCACTCGAAGCAAAGTATGTTTCCGACATTCTTTGGCTCACGGTTTTGAATCACATGAATCTAGATTTCTTTGCACCTGCGTGACACAGAGAGATATGGAGATATAGATTCCACTGTGCAAAAAAGATCGTGTTCTGTTTATTTTCGGTATGATGTACAGTATGTATAATATATAACACTATAATACACTATATATACATTATATATGTATATGTATATGTATATGTGTATTGTATTTTTTGGTATGTGTGTAAAAAAAACCAAGCCAGATTCGAATGCTTCGATGCCAATCTTGTCACAGGCTTCGCTAAAGCCCCTGGCCTTGGAGCAAGCCAAGCGCTTCGCTTCGATGTTCCTTGGCGGGGCAATGCCATGGGATGCCCATGGTGAGGCTTATGAGTCCCCCTTGGTCCTCCTTGGTCCTCCTTGGTCCTCCTTGTTTGCGGTTGGTTTTTGGCATTGTTACCATAGTTGATTCGTAGTTGATGTTGTTGATTGGTCGTTGATTGGCCGTTGGTTGTTCCTGTTAGTTTTACTGTTTGTTACTGTTTGTTCCCCACATCTTTCTGGGGTTCTTGTTTTTGGTTGTGCACTCCCGGCCGTCGTCCGTCCCGTCCGTCGCCTTCCGTCGCCTTCCGTCGCCTTCCGTCGCCTTCCGTCGCCTTCCGTCTCACACACACAATTCTCTCACGCACAACTTACGGCACTTGGCGGCATCGGACTTCACTTTGTGTGGCAGGCGTGGCACTTATGGCGCTGGGCTGGCTCTGGTGGCGCGCTTGGTTCTCGTTGGCGCCGTGGCTGTTTATGTGGCAGGTGTGGCATTTGGAAGCACCGACGCGGATTCAGTGTGGCAGGCCTGGCACTTGGCGACATCGACTTTCACTTTGTGTGGCAGGCGGGGCGCTTGGCGACATCGGCTGTTTGTGTGGCAGGTGTATAGCATTTGGAAGCATCGACGTCCATTCTGTGTGAAGGCGTGGCGCTTCGCGACATCGACCTTCATTCTGTGTGGCAGGCATGGCACTTGGCGCAACTGTCTTGGCGCAACTGTCTTGGCGCAACTGTCTTTGGCCACACATGCCACACAACAATTTCACACACAACTCTTTCACATACAACTCTCTCACACATAGCTCTTTCACACAATCTCTCTTCCACCATATCCACGCTACTCACACATACACACACACACTTTCTCAACACAAATCTCTCACATACTCACAACCTTCACAACTCTCACACACACAACTCTCTCACACACACAACTCTCTCACACACACCTCGCTCACACACAACTCTCTCACACACACAACTCTCTCACACACAACTGACCCCCACAGCTCTCTCGCACACAACTCTCTCATTCTCACACACAACTTGCTCACACACAACCTTCTCACAAGCAACTATCACCCGATCTGTCTTCCACCATCTCCTTTCTCTTTCCTGCCTTTCCCATCCCGTCTTCAGCTTTCTTTTGCTACTTACTATAAGAAGTTGACATGTGGGGTTATCCGGTCCTTTAATGACTGTTAGTTGATGTTGTGTCGTGAACTTTTTGGTGGCAGAAGTTGATGTTTGTTCCTGAGGAGCAAGCATCCTTTCAAGTTGCTGAAAGCAGCTGGAGCAGAAGCCATGGCAGCCAACACCCCCGCCCTCTGGGAAGAGGTGGCTTCCATCCTCTCCACCGGGTGACCAGCATATTCTGATTCTGTGGCCAAGGGATCCAAGGGGTAGCTCCTCAGTGGCAGGAACCAGGATGCAGCAAGTTGAACCGTGTCAAGATATGCAGAGACTTAGATTTTTTTTGGAATGAGTTTTGAAGTGTTTATTTAGTTGCTTATTTTTGCCATGGGTTTCAACATGTGTTCTAATCACCGCGTTCTACTTTGATTGTTGTTTGTGCAGTCGGATCTTTTACCGGCCCACAAATTCGACATTTTTGTTACATGTCATCTTAAACCTCTTCGGGTGAGGGTTGGGCGGGGTGGGGTGGGGCATGTCAACGTTCGTTTGCACTTGAAGTTGATGCTACGTCACGCATGGGGTTGGGTGGTGTGGGGTGGGGCATGTCAACTTTCGTTTGCACTTGCGTCATGAAGTTGATGCTATGTCAGGCATGGGGTTGGGGTTGGGTGGGGTGGGGTGGGGTGGGCATGTTGACGTTCGTTGCACTTCCGTCATGAAGTTGATGCTACGTCACGCATTGGGTTGGGGTTGGGGGGGGTGGGGCATGTTAACGTTCGCTTGCACTTGCGTCATGAAGTTGATGCTACGTCACGCATGGGGTTGGGGTTGGGGGGGGGGGGGGTGGGCCATGTTAACGTTCGCTTGCACTACAGATACGTAGAGGAGGCATATATAGATTCTTACCTGTAGAGTATTCGCATCTACATATGTATACATACACCGATATTGCGATCATACATATGGACACATATATAGATATGATACATTTGTAAATATATAGATATGATACCTGCTGGCCAAAACGGGCCTCTACCTGGCAAAACTGTGAGCTGAAAAAAGGAAAACCGAACTCGGCACGTTTTTGACCACAAAATGCTGGAAGGGTTGACGAAAGCATCTTGCGATGAACTTTTTTTAAGAAACTTTTTTGGACCCAGAATGTGCGTTTGGCTAGCACGAGAACGACGTTTTTGAGAAATCATGGGACGGTGAAAGATCCGTCGGGTTGTTTGTCTTATTTATATAGATTCATTCTCTGTCTTCTGCTGAGTCATGGAGGACTAGATGTCGGCCTCCGATCTTTACTACAAGCTCCTGCATTCACATGTCGTGAAGGGCCATGGCACCTTAGATCATGACAAGATGTGAGATCATCATAACAACCGCCACTATGGACCATGACGGACCATGTCACTTTTACAGCTGGAAACAATAAAGCCGCGGAAATTGCCAGGGCTGAGGCAGTGACAAAGGAAGAAAAGGGATGAAAGGGCGGGTCCGGATGGTCCGCAGCAGAATTTTTTCTGATTTGAGATCTAGATCCTGAAAGTCCTGGGGCCTTAAAAGGAAGGGCCACTTACAGAGTGGTGCTAAAATGCACTAAAAGGATCTAAAAGGGATTATGGAAATGTCGAGGGCCGAGGAAGTTATAGAAATGCCGGGTGTTCTACGGCTGAGGGTTGTGATATAAGAGGATACAAGATAAAAGGTTAGCATAGATGACATGAGCAATACCAGGGAGCACCACACAATTTCTTGTATTTGAAGATTCTCAGGCTCACTGTTGCGATCCCTCGCTTGCAAATTCAACCATTGGACCAGGAAAAACCCGGGAGCCTTTTGATCAATCAGTTTGCTGAGAGATCAGACCAGATGCATTGAAAAAACGCTCACGATTATTCACGATTTTCTTCGTACCTTACGAGTCTTAGCATACCGCAGCATACCTTATGGGTCTTTACTCGTACCTTTTGGTCCAATCCACGAAAACCCACGATTACTCACGATTTTCTTTGTACTACCTTACGAGTCTTAGCGTGCCTCATGGGTCTTTACTCGTACCTTTTGGGTCCTACATACGAAAACCCACGATTTCGAAATTCACAACATGCTGCAGTTTCTGCAAGTTCAGTTTGTGCGCCGGAAGCAGCATAATCAACCACATCATCACAGCACATGTTGGCGTTTGGATGGGTTCAGTGCCCTTTTAGGTAGGCATTCCCCATCTAGGTGCCTAGGACCTTAAAAGGAGCATTATCAGAGCTGTTTCCCATGGTACTTTTCGGTGCCAAGGCCCCTCAAGTACACGTACTTTTTGTATCTTTTCAAGGCCACTTTTACGGATATGGCAAAGACCTTGAAAGTACCTTGGACTTCTAGGGTATGTATCGGTCTAGATGTACTTTGCAGTTGCTACCATATTGTTGGATGGAGATTGAGGCGCCCCAAACCCTCACAGTTCATCATATCATCAGCCAAAAGATGCATGGCCTCGGGATCTCTGAGTCAGTGACACAAATTGACACATTGTGTTTGGAGGCCACAAGTTGGGGCACGAAGGCATTTGTTGTGAGTAGAAGCTTGCATCATCCACTGACATCTACTTGCCATTCATGCCTCTTGCATCCTCTGCGCAACGCCTCCATGGAGGCTGGTAGTCCAAGGTTTGGGTTGGTTTCGTTGTGCTGGGTGCGCTGGGTGCCCGTGCGTTTCAATTCAGAATCCATAAGAATCCAAAGAATCCATAAGAATCCATAAGAATCCATTCCGTCATATGAATCAAAGAATGAGGCAAGCTAACCCTGTGAAGCGGATCTGTTTTTTGCAATGCGAAATGGCTCCAAGTCAGACACTCGTTAAAGGTTGATAGCGACAAGTTGGAAGGCCAACACGGTGACAGGCAGAGGTGCATATTTGATGGGTTTGCTGCGCTTGCGTGCGCTGTCCCTGCTTCTCAAACGCACTCCCCCTGCTGCACTTAGTCCATCGGTCACGCTGATGCGAGCACCTGGTTTGAAAGCTGGACGGTATAGTGGCACTATTGAATGCTGGATACAAACCTTCCAAGATGCCTCTGCAAAAAGCTGTTACTTGATTGCCTGGACACTGGATCATTATTGTTCAAAAGTGTTAAGACTCATTCATTATTCTCAGCAGCGATGCAAAGGTTTCCGACATCACCGAACTGGGTTCAAGTTTTTTGGCGCTACCTCGCATCCTTCTCCTTGTCTCCTTTGTTGTCTCCGCTTCCTCCATCATCTCTATCATGTTTTATCATTTTTTCGTATTTTGTGAATCTTTCATCTATCAATCCCACCTCTATCAAGCTAAACCTAATTTATATCATACCAATCTCTGTCAAACTTGACTCTGCTTTTATAATTTTGATAGGCTTGGCAATTCCATCCGTGAAATTTCTCCCTATACCAAGTCTCTCCACCAAATTTATCTGTTATATTTTCTATATAATAATTACTACGTTTTCTTTTCACTTTTCTTTCTATCAAACTTGTCCCTCTCAAACAAAGCTCTATCAAATCTACCCGTGTGGCAAGTGTAGCCATGCCTTCCCGATTTTTTGGCAGCTTGTATTGCGCAAGACAGGAAGGCTTAACATGCGGGGCCATCCAATCCTTCAATCTTATTTGCTTCGCATTTTCCGAAGACCTCAAGGGCAGCGTTCACACTTTGTACGCATTTCTTCCACCTATCCAGCATGTGGTTCCGCGCATATTTTATCATATTTTCATATTACACATGGTTTTCAGGTCGCCTGCGTATTTTTAAGTTTACAGTAATACGTGTTCTTTGGGGTGTTCATATCGATATAATAAATGCAATGTAAATGCAAACTATAGCAATCTATAGAAAACATGTTTCAACCTGGTTTCGGCTATTTGACGGTCTTGTATTTCACTTATTCGGCAGTGCTTTTAGTATCCTGTCCCTCATCACTTTCATTTTGGACTGAGCCAATAATCGGTTTCTCATTGCCATCTTTTCTTTGGCTGCTGAAATAAGGGTAATTTGACTCCACCTCTCCAGGCGTGACCGGGCGTGACCTTCGAATGCGGCAACTTCAATGTGGGAGGATGACAGGCAACGCAAGAACAATCACGTTATATAGATGGACGCGAGTTTGGTTTTGCTGGGTTTATCATCCGAACCCTATTGGAATCCTAGTTCTATACGAGAAGAATGAGAACATGGAAAAAACCATGGTAATTATGTAATTATGTGCCGGCAACACATGATGGATTCATTTTGCCAGCAATTTGCCGAGGCACCTCAACATCCTTGGCATCGGAGTAGTGGTACGCAAGCTGCGGCCTCCTTCTGGAGTCTGCCCCGCAAGCCATTGACAAGGAAGCAGCTGGTGAATGCTAGTGACCTAATGTTTGCGTGTCTCGATTATGAAGGCAGTGGACCGCTCCAGCAGATGCCAGCTTGCCTTGAACCATGTGACCTTTCCCCATAGCACCTGCGGTCTTCTGCCGCGATGCTGCAAATTCAAGACCTTTTTAACGGTCCTTTTAAACGTCTGGCACTCACAGGCGGCGTCTGCGGCCTGTAGGCTGTGCTTTGACAGGCTTGACCCTATCGGCTATCTCGAAGACCAAAATCGCTGAAGGCCATGGGCTGTCGCTGCAACTTCCATCTCAACTTGTCCAATGCTGTAATATTTGTCAATGAAAAGTGTCAGAAAACCAAGGAATAAGAGAAGACCAGCAACACCAGCATGCTTCGAAAATGAGCGCCAAGCATGCTGCCCAGACGTCCTTTGTCGCTTGAGCCTTTCTTCCTGAAATTAGACACTTGATGGCGTGTCATCTCCTTCTCCTTTTGGAGCTATCAATGGTAGACGAACTTGTCAGTGCTTCAATCAGCACAATGAAGCCTCAGAAGGGAATCAATGAAAAGCATCGGGTGCCTTTTTGACAGTGTCCTTTCACAGGTACCGTGTGCTCTAAGTTTTTGCCGGCTTCAGACACCATTTGCGAAGTTGTGTCCAATTGTGTCTGATATCGGGCAGCTCACCAAGTCTTCAGCCGCGATGCTGTAAATTCAAGACCTACAGTGCGGAGAGTATTCGCCTTTAGCTCTGCTGAACGCCTTGAGAAGGCGATGGAGAGAGAGGGAGAATGCTATCACATTACAGCAGAAGATTTCGATTCTTTGCTTGTTTCAATTCAAGTCATTCAATGCGAAGTGCAGTGTGTTTCCATCCTAAGTCAAATTCATGCCGAATACTGCACATTGCTTCTGAAGCACCAACACGAACCATAGCAACAAGATCCAGAAATGCCTCCGTCGTACTGCTGCCATGCATGAGTGTCACACCAGCACATTCCATGCACATGTTCGGCTTTTCCAACAGAAAGACCTCTTGTGACAGCGACAATCCCCTTTAGAGTAGACCCCAAAACAACAACTATTATTTGTTGGTTCTGCATGGTGTCCGTGCCGATTGGTTCCACAGCGTGACCAGAGTGAGGCAGACTTTTTATAGCCGGCGAAATTGCTTGCTGCCATGAATAGAGCTCCGGTTCCAACAGGGTGTGCCGAGGCTTAATGTTCAGCGTTTGCAGCAAGAAAGGAGGACACGAACCACACTCAGCTGTCCAATATATTCGCGGGGAAAAAGAGTCACGGAAAAGCACGGACTAGAGATCGAAAACAGGCAGGCTCAAGACTTAAGTCTCACCAAGTTTATGCCGATACCAATGGCATCTTGTGGCCAGGCATGCTGCCATTTGACAGTGTCCTTTCACAGGTACCGTGGGCTCTAAGTTTTTTCCGGCTTCAGACACCATTTGCGAAGTTGTGTCCAATTGTGTCTGATATCGGGCAGCTCACCAAAAGCAGACCACACCGAGAATGCAGGGGCTTTGCGACCAGCGTCAGTTTTGTTCGCGCAACATGTCGAATGTTTTCCTGAGGGTGAGCATGCATGTAAACAGTTTTCGAATCGTTTTGGAAGGCACAAGCAAGATCTGTCTGATTCTGTCAGTGTTCTTGCGAGCTCTGTGTTGCATTTTCTCGTCTCATGCTAGCAGGTGCGGGGTCTGTAATGCCTGACCAAAAATGTGAAAACATGCATCAAACGTCATCAACATATTGCACGTGAGATAATGTTGTTTCACACATGTTCACACCAAAAGAGACTGGCAGCAATTTTAACTTCGAAGCCATTGGCGAGAGAGTGAAAGACTTTTCTTTCGTCCGATTTTTCGCCAGATTTCCTCACACAAAGTTTGGAAAATAAGCCAAGCTGAACATGTAATGGATGAATCCAGTGCAAGCTTCAAGGAAGTGCCAGACGAATGTCATGAAACCTAGTGTATAGCAAATCCTCATGCCTTGAAATATATCCAAAAAAGCGTTGCATTTGCATTTGTATCCAAATACTGGTTGCATTTCTAATGTCCCCAAAAATTGAGTACACTGTCGGGTTTTACCATGTTTGTCGGGGAAAGATACTTGACCTGGGTCTTGCCTGCGTGAAATTGAGGCAAGATTACAGTAGCCGTACTTGGTGGAGCTTTCTTGCGCCCGATGCTAGTCACTGGGCATGCACAAGTCCAATTCCACGCTTTTGTTGCCAGCAGCATGCTGGTAGCAGAACCCTCTGAGTAGCGCTTTTAACCCGGTAGTGCAGACATGCAGAGCGCG